TTCGAGTCGTATGTTATGTAAGTGAGGTGAGATAAAGAAAGAAAATGATTGCCTCCCATTATACAATTAAGATAAAAAAATTAATTATATATTTTAATATAATTAATTTTTAATTTTAAGTGTCAACATTTAATAAAATAAATTTTTAAGTTTTAAATTTAATTTTAATTCAATAAAATAATGTTAAAATTCTAATTTTTTTAAGAATAAAAATTAATATTTAATATTTTCAATTTGCTATATATCATTCATGTTTCAGAACAAGAATATATATACATCTTGTACAGACGGCTTAGAAATACAAAAGGTAACTAAGCCTAGATTCCAATCCCATAATAACAGAAATAATAAGGCTATACAAAAGACACACGATTAATTGACTAAGATTGAATTATTGATCTGTTTACTTAATAATCCCCACTTCTATATTGTTTTTTTATGAGAAGAGCTATTTTTTTTTATAATTTAAATTGTATTAAATTGTAAAAAAATAAAAATAAAAATAAAAACAACCTCTAGATTTGTTCTCATTCAAAAATTAATTTAGTGCAATAAACATTTATGTTATAAGTAATTGTAATTGCCAACCAATTTTTAATCCGCTCATTGAGTGTGAACAATATGGAATCTTTTTTTATTTTTATCATAAGATGGAATCTTTTAACAATTCTTTTTTGTGCAAGTGTACAAGATTGACACATATATAACATTGTGTCTATGTCAAAATCTGCTTAATTAATGTCCAAATTTAATGTCAAAAGCCATTGCTAGCCCAGATTAATTTAAACATTTGTTTTTTATTTATTTATTTTATTTTTATAAGTGATGCGTTAGGTCTTAGGATACAGAATAACCACGTAATAATTGTATTTTTTATACTATATTAATTACTCTTTTGAATTTGATTTAGTTCTCTTTATCAATTTACTATTATTAAAAAATTATTTATTTTAATAATTAAGACTTATCTTTTTATTTTCATTTTTACTTATAATTAAATAAAAAAAAAACCTTAACACATTTATATCTCTTTTGAGATAAGGATAAAATTAAAATATTAATATGTAATGTCTGCTTAAAATGAAAAGTATAATAAATAAATTAGATCACTTCTATTTAAATAGTAGAATAATTAAATAAGACAAGAGAGAGTAATATAAAAAAATAAAAATTAATATTAATTTTATCAATTATCTAATTAGAGTTAACTATTTAATGACAATAACGTTGAAATTAATATTAATTTTTATTTTTTTATAAATTAATACAAAAATAACTATATTTATTATATTCTAACTTGTTCCTTAAGATTATGGGTTAAAAAAATATATCCTCCAACTTTCCTTACAAACAAATCCTTCTTCGAGTTTGCTTAGGAATATGATATAAAACGTCTTCCCGTTTGATCGATCTATATATAAGGACTGAATTGAGACGTTTTGCCCACAATTCATCACTGTCTTCTTCTTTCACGCTCTCTTTCATATTGCTTCAAAGCCATGATTTCCCAGCATAATTTCTTTGATAATTATCTGTTGCTCAAGCCGAAGGAGGCAAATGTGTTTGATCTCGTTCACCTTCTTTTTTCTTCCTCTTTATTGGAAAGGAAAAGATTCATTGAGTGTCCTGCAGAACTGCCCAAGTACACAGATTTCCGACGTAGATGGCTCATCTTCATATCTGTTTTGGCTCAGAAACTCCTCCTACTACTGAATACACCCATGGCGAAAACAGGGTATGCGCTCGAGATGTGTCTGAATCTTTTCTCAAGCAATGGAGGCTTTCTCAGGCTTCTAAGGAATCTTTTCAAAGGTTAATAACGTCTGCCCATCTCATTCAATGTTTTCTAGCTCGCCCACAAGGCTTCATCTACTATATTATTATACTTATTTATTCTTAGTCAAATAAGTTTCTTAATTTTGTATTTATTTTTATATTTTGAAAAATTATTGTGCAATTTTACCATACTGTACAATAAAAACTGTTAAAAGAGAGATAAGTCCTTAATATTGGGGGCCTTTCCATCCAACCATCCCCGCAGGGAACTCTTTATATTTCATATGTGATCTCATGACCTGCACAAACATGGCTGGCTGAGTGTCACATGCATGCAGTTATGATTCTAAGAAGGAATTTTCAGATTGGCTTATATATATAATATATATGCAGGAGAAGTGGTCTGGCCGGATAGATCATCGGCAACGTTCGTGTCCCTGGTAGGCAACCTTGACCGGAGAATTGACTTGGGCAGAAACATTAGACCTGGAGACAGAAAATACAAAGCATCACTGTCTGTGATGGCCGCTAAATTGTCGTACGAGAATGAAGCCTTCATTAAAACCACGGTTGAGAAACAATGGGAGGTAAAATTAATTGTCAAAATCAATGAAATTGTATTGTAGTATTTTTTTTAATAATTAAAATTGTATAACAAAGTAGTAACAAAGATGCCTTTTTTTTTAATAATTAATTTAGCGCAGATGGAGTTCATGGGATTCTACAATTTCTGGAATGGTAAGCCCAATTATCTCTGTGCTAACCCTAAAAGCTCAATTATTTCAGTCTCTAAACCCATTGCTTTTCTTCGTTATGGCAGAGTACCATGGAGATTTCTCGGCACAAGCCTTCGTCGTCCAGGATAAATTGATTGATCCTAACCTGATTGTGCTTGCATTCAGAGGCACGGACCCATTCAATGCAGGAGCCTGGCGAGCTGATGTGGATATATCATGGTACGAGCTAAAAAATGTTGGCAAGGTCCACAGTGGCTTCATGAAGGCCCTAGGCCTGCAAAGAGACCAAGGCTGGCCCAAGGAGATCCAGCCTAGCAAAGATGGAAAACTGTTTGCTTACTACACTCTCAGAGGAAAACTCAAAGAGATACTGAAGAAGAATAAGAGAGCCAAGTTTCTAGTGACAGGGCACAGTCTGGGTGGGGCACTAGCAATTCTGTTCATGGCTGTGCTAGCGTTACATGAGGAAAAATGGTTGTTGGACCGACTAGAAGGAGTATTTACATTTGGCCAGCCAAGGGTTGGGGATAGGCAGTTTGGGGAGTTCATGGAGAAGAAGCTGAGGAAGTATGATGTCAAGTATTTTAGGTATGTCTACTGCAATGATATGGTGCCTAGGATGCCTTATGATGACAAAACCCTCTTGTTCAAGCACTTTGGGCCATGCCTCTATTTCAATAGCTGCTACAAAGGGAAGGTAAGTTATGGGCAATTTTTTTTTCCCCTTTTTTAAAATCTACCATGTATTGGGAAATGTAATGCCGAGTGCTTACCACGGTTACTTGAAACGCAGGTTTTGGGGGAGGAACCGAACAAGAACTACTTCTCTTTGTTATGGGTAATACCCAACTATATAAATGCAGTTTGGGAACTTATTAGGAGTTTCACCATCCAAGATATTGAGGGACCAGAATACAGAGAAGGGTGGTTTATGAGAGCATGGAGGGTTTTTGGATTGGTAATTCCGGGATTACCAGCTCATGCAAGTCGAGATTATGTAAATAGTATCCGATTGGGATCCCTACCTTTGGATCCAGTCCACTAACTTTATGTTTAGTTTGCTTGCGAGAATTGTCAAAAGATACGTTCACAGAATGGTTTTTAATTTATTTTAACTTAAGGCTTTCTTGTGAACCATATGTATGGGGAAAAACGATTCACAGAAAGGAGGAAGATCTTTTATTTTTGCCGCATTTCAGTATTTTAGTAATATGGAAACTACCTGAATTCCTAGCTAATGATCAGCATCTTATTGTAAACTTACCTCTCCTGATATAATAAGACTGCAGAAGAAAAGTATGTCGACATCCTTCAGAATTTAGAAATTCAACAAAATGGAAATGCAATGGAACCATGTGAACTGCTTACTTCTATGAGATGTAATATGGAGCTAAAACAGATAAGAGTGAATTTTTCACTTGCAGGGCAAACTATCACAGAATGAAAAATTTAAAGGTTGATACACTATTACAGATACAAGCGTGCAAGATTTATTAGTAGAATGTTCATGAAATACTTTTAAGTTCTGGGTTATGGCACAACTGAGGTCATGCATTTTATCTGGAATCTTGACAGAGGCAGCCGTTCTTCAGTCATGCAAAACTGCAGTGACACCAATTTAGTGTCAACGTAGAGAGATTGATGCTTCTTCCTGTACAATATTCATCTTGTCCATCTCCAGTGATCATTCCACTTAAACTGGTCAGCAATAAGATGAATCTTTTGTAAGTGTCGTAATATATCTTTTCAAGTGCAAGAGAAGATCTAATTGCTTTGAATTTAATATCTTTACCTAAGTTCCCAAAGTCTCAACCCAACCCCCATTATTGTTATGGAAAAGGAATCTTTTAGGTATCACATGGAGTAATGGAGAAATTTCGATTTTTCTTTATGCATTAAATGATGTATAAAACAGAGCCTAATTCTTCTGTCTTCTAACATGGCAGGTAAAAGAGTAAAAGACGCCTCTTCAATGCTAAAAACCAAAATGCTGCTTTGCCATGAAAACAACCAAGATATGCGACACATAGATTCTTCTTTTTCTGTTGGCCAAAATAAGAAAATAATTCAGCAATTTGAAAATTTAAAGCAACTCCTTTGACAATTCTGATATATGTTACCATGGTCACTCCAACCATTCCTTCTAATTGTAAAATAGATGGAAATTTTTAAACGAAAAACAGAGCTTGAAGCAGATTTACCTGGCATTTGAGATCAATCAAAACCCAGCAACCATAGCATCAACGAGGAATTAGAAAGCATGGCAGGTAAAGCAACCACTTAGTGAACCCATCTGGCGTGTTCTACGTAAAGATATGGCCCCATAGGAAGTCCTTGTAATGCGATTGGCCTGGTTGGCTAACATCGAACTCCTCATTTCTTGGGCTCTCTTTTGAGCTGATCTCAGCTTATTCATTATCTTATCCATTGATGATGACCTCTTCTTTTCCAGCTTCATCTGAAACAAGTTGTTGGATAAGCAATGATCAATACCCTTAGCCTTTGCCTCCACTTCAACAAAACATCAACCAGCAATCTTTGAATACTAGGCATAATATACCAATTTATAAGCCAGACATGGGATCATACTCTTGCATTTTCATGATTTCATCAGAAATATATTAATATTGCAATTATTGTAACATTTTCATTCCTCTATGAGTTCAAATTAATACTTAACAAACTTGTAAATTATATAACGGAAAGTCTTCCCATGAGAAAGAGCTATAAAGCAAGCATGATAGTAGAAGAAAAATGTCTGGGATACCAACAATGTTGTTAATATTCTCTTGATCTGATCTCAGCAAGATGCAACCAAATTTCATTTTCAGAAAATTGACACCATCTACTTAATTCTACCTTAACATATTGTTTTATATGATAGTTTTGGTGCCATTTTTTTTCTAGGACACTGGAAGTGAGCTGTTAACCAATGTAGAGATTTGTACCCTTAACCTTGACCCCTTAACCTTGACCCCCAAACCAATAGTTTTAAAGTTAGTGGGTACCAACTCAGCTAAGCTCTTGTTGGTATAGTTTTGGTACCATACTAATGCATACTAGATCATCATTAACAGGAATAAATGAACAACAAAAAGAAGTATTACTAACTTTTCTATTGTAGGAAGATTTTCATTTTATCGTATCAACATTAATCTTTGGCTTGAATATTTCTTAACAATCACTTAAAATTGTGAATTTAAAGACATTTAAGAAAAGAAAAATACTTCTAGTTTCCGTATTGCAGCCTCAGCTTTTGCCTTCTGCAGATTCTCCCATGCAGTGATTTTGGCTTCTTCTCTTTTGATCCTGCAAAGTTAGAGGGGAAACATTGGACATATGAGGAATTGTTGAATCTGTTTGAACAGTAAATTGAAATCATTTGAAATTGGCCTTCTAGGGATGCTTTGAAATAAAGAGCAAAAATATTTATATTGATTGGAAACTGTTAGGTGTTCTGTTCAAGAGATAACACACTGTTCGGTAAAATATTGGTATTTATTCATTTCCTTAAAAAATTCATGCCACCCTACTTAGTTCCAAAGTAGTTGTGAACTACTTAATCTTATAACTCAAAATTGAAGGGAACACAAAGTTGTGCAACAGCCAAGGATACATACTTGGAAATGTTCTTTGCTGTATCTGGTACATCCCAGGTTGATGTTTGAACATCAACAGCTTTCTTTCTCCAATCATCAACAATGTCTGAACACTTTCTTGGGTTTCGGGCTTTATTCTTCTTTGACCACCTTGTCATAGTGACCCTTTCATCTACCTGCACATCTCTAACTTCTGATTTATAGGAATGGATGCTTTGCACCTCCACAATAGGTAGAGGAGACAGGGTGGAGGGTGAGAAAGAAGGCCTTCCTTCAGGAGATGAGTGGTTGCTCCCCTGTGGACTCATTTGGGTTGCCATGTCTCTTCTTGAAATATCATGAGAAATATCATTGCCCATATCCTTGACTCTATTAGGTTTTTCATCTGCATGGGTGAAAGTATGCAGGTTCAGTAATTGACATAACAGCACTCTCTCAAAAAGATAAAGAGGGTTGGGGTAAAACAAAATCTAGATGTAGCATATCTTTCCTATTATAACTGTGTTGCATTAAGAAAGGAATGTCAAGTTCAGTATTGTACAGGGATGAATATTTAGAACCAAAAAGTTACACTTAGCTTATGCCTGCTTGTATAGTTGCCTACTTAACTTGCTTGCAGCTTTGGTGCAGCTTCTTCAAAGTTTCACAGTTTTGGCAAAAACATTGATCCTTTGTTGAAAGGCCAAATTCATTGAAGTGTTTGAATGGATTATATAAACACTTAACTAGTAGTTAATAACTAAATAAAAAAAACTAGTAGTTAATAGCATTTTTTGAAGTAACAATGGTATCTAATTTGTATGTTAGGTAGGTAACTACACTAATAATGATGATAGTTATGTTCATCATATCACAATACTTCAGATCTTGTTAGGATGATCATAATAATTATGATGAGCAAATTCCTAAATGTGGAGAACAAATTATTCACATAAAAAAAAAAAAAAATCATCTGTCATCATCTAAAGGTACCTTGGGAGGGCAAGTATGGTGGGTTCAACATCACAGAGCACCCATGTACACTCACAGAACGGGCCATGCAAGGCTCTGTTCGTGCAGTAAAAGCTCCACCGTGGCCGACAGAATGGATTGCCGAACCATCAGCTGCAATTACACCCGATGAAAATGGAGAACCAGCCATGAATTTTTGCACATTCCCCTCTTCCAACATTGGCACTGCTGGAGAATACAATGAATAGTAGGCAACCCCTGGAGGGCCAAGCGGACCACTCTTTGATTTTGGTCGCCTCTGGGGAGGTGCAATTGACTGCCTTGCATCCCCAGACACAGGACTGCATATCCACCTTTCAGCATCTTCCCACTTGGAAGGCAAAGTCCTTCCACTATTCAAAGGCACCAGAGTAGCACTCACCTGCATCTTGCCATCATTGCCATGCAAGGGCACTCGCTCAGAACTCCAACCCTTCTGCATTCCAACACTAGTGTGACCATAATTTGGAGTCCCTGGACTAGGAAATGCACCAGATTTCCGGCCTGTAACTGAGCTTTTCTTCATATTTCCCAACCGTGGAGAAGAAGCAGCAACATTATTCAGATCTATTGAAGCAGGTCTTTGCCTGTCGAGCTTCTTACACAAAGCTTCAGATCTAGATCTCCTCTCCTGACACTCTGTGGAATAGTTATTGATTTTTATACCAGTAATGGACCTGAGACAGTTTTCTAAATATAGAAAAGAAGCTGAGTACCTTTTACAGCAAGAGAAAATGAGCTTCTTGCGGAATCTGTGAGTTGATTGTCATCTTCTATTAAAGCATCAGTAGCCTCGTTTTGAACTGTGTGAAAGAAAACTGTGAGCAGATGAATTTGAAATTCGCCAACTGTGAAGCCTGGCAGTTTCTCTTTTGTTTTGTTTTTTTTTTTTTTTTTTTTTTTTCTCAAAAAAAAATTACTATAATCAAATAGAGCAATAGTACCTTTCACTTTTTCTCCCTTTCGTGAGAGACGACCGTGCTTGTGTACTGTGCCGGGTTTGTTTGGATCTAGATCTGGGCCACTTAAACTCTCATTGTGGTCACGATCATGTCCTGCCAAATGCTGCAAGCACAATTCATAGAAGTGTTCATCATCCACTAGATTCAGTCCTTAGAAAAAGTTCTCTTTCCAGATTGTAACCAAATCTCCTGATATTAGATCCTCTTTAGGTAATTATACATTAGAAAGAAAAAATAAATAAATAAATAAATAAAGCATTCCTCGTTAGACTTCCGATTTCCAGAACTTTTCTTCTCCAGCAAAAGGTGAATTAATTAAATATAATAAAAGGAAATAATTTCCTCTTTATTCATGCACATTGACTCTGTTAATCAAAAAGCTTAATCGGATAAGGAAACACTGGCAAATTGATCAACCAGCTTAATTCAACATTGCGAGTGCGAAGAAGCTGTTCTACATTAAACGGCAAAATCAAGCTCAATCATGGAATACTCTAGAATCTGCAGTCATGCACTCTAATACAGAGATCGCTTCTCCGTCACACGTTGCAATACTAAAAATCAGGATGCTGCAACACAAAAGGATATAAATATGAAGGAGATTAACTTACCAGAGAGATTTCAGAAGCGAGAGAGTCGTGATCGTGAGCGTCGGAGGCGAAAGAGCAGCGATCGACGCTGGCGGAAGCGGAAGAGAAGAGGCTGAAATTGGATTCCAGTGTGAAAATCACAGAATCAGGACTAGCATCTCGAGCTCTGTACCCCGACCTCACCGAACTCCGCTCGTGAAACCCTACCTCTGCCATCCTCACACTTCGCTCCTTCACATCTCAGTCACAGAGTTAGCTGATGGGATTGCAAAACACAAAACAAAAAACAGCAGTAAAATATGGAGCGAGATTGGATTCTTTCTTTCTCTAATATATAAAGAAAAATCTGTTTAAAGCTTTGTTGTTATTTGGCGGGTATAAAATGGATTAAAAATTTCTAAATTAAATTATCTTAAACGGAGTAAAGACAATATTTTCGACTTTTTAAACCCAAATTTTCAGTTTGTTTAATCTGGAGATGAGTTGGTCTGCGGCTTTTTTTTTTTTTTTTTCTTTTCTTTAACATTAAAAAAGAGTTGGTCTGCGGCTTTTTTCTTTTCTTTTCTTTTTTTTGGAACTTCGGGAAATTTGAGAAATGAGAAATTTGTTTTTGTAAATGGTTGGTAATAATTAAATTTTTCATCAATTAAACTCAAATAATAAAATTTAAGAACAAAACAATTGGGTTTTTTTTTTATAACATGAAAAAATTTGGGAATAAGGATTTCATTTCAAGTTTCGTTAGTAAAATTTGAACTCTGATTAATTATACATAAATATTTAAAATTAAAGATGAATCATTAAATCAAAATATTCGATTGCTGT